CCTCCTCCTGGCGGCGAGACGGCCCAGCCGAGCCGAGCCGACACCAAAAAAGAGAGAAAGAGAGAGCGAGAGCGTGCGCTGTCAGCCCCGGGGCAGCCCAAAGCCCCCTGCTCCCGGTCCCAGCCCACGGTGACGGGCACCCTGTGCCAGTTGGGCACCCCGACTTTCTGAGCTGCCCAACACTCCCATCACCAGCCCCAGATGCCACCGGCGCCCGCCACCAAGATGCTCCCCCACCTCTGGCTCTAGACCTGTAATCCTGGAGAGCCTTTATGCAGGATAAAGCCTTTCCCCGTCGCCCCTTGGCCAGCCAGGAAAGTCAGGGAGTGGGAGGGACGGGGTGTGGAAATAGGGATGGGGGGAGGAAGCCCCTGGGAGCCCAGCGAGGCCCTGCCGGGATCCTCGTGGGGTAATGGTCCTCGTGCCGCCACCCTGGTTTTTCAATAGCGAGCCCAGAGGGAGCGGGCTAAGATGGGTGTCGCTGCCTGGGGAGGCAGAGCTGCTCCCCCGGGGCCCCAAAAACATCCCAAGGGTGGGGGGAGCGATGGGGACTCAAACCCTCCTGGCAGGCGGCATCGCTCACCCCATGGGATGCCCTGGGGTGGGTTTTGTGATAATAAGGCAGGAGCATCGCTACCACCCCGGGGAGGGCGGGCAGGGTTTTGGATGGCAGCTCGAAGCAGAGGCACGGGAGGCAGCTCTGGAGGGGATGTCTCTCGCTCCGGCGTAGCGATGTTTGCACCACAATCAATAGCCCGCGTTCCCGTGCCGTGATTAGTAACACTGCAGCGCCCGGCAGCTCCCTGCGGTGCGGCTTTCGGCACGACCGCCGGCCTCCTCCCTGCCGCACGGTGGGTCACGCTCCCCGCACCGGCGCTGCTGGGCCAAAAACCCCACAAATCCACGGGATTTGCTTATTAATCTGCGCTAACCACCGGCAGGGCCGCAGCTCCCCCGGCCCGGCAGCCCTGGTGGCGGCAGCACAGCTGGGCGGGCCCCCCACCTGCTGCTAGTGGGGTGCAGCTAGCACCCAGGGATGGGGGTCTCTCAGCCCTGAACCCCCCCTAGAATGGCCAGTGTGGTGGGGGCACGTCCACATGTGCTCCCCCTTGAGCATCTGCAGCCGGCTGAGGTCCCAGGTGCCCAACACTGACGTTGTCAGCCGGTTATGTTGCTGGAGGGGTCTCCAGGGAGGCGGTTACCCCGTCCCTTGCACCCTCGCCCGTGCTCTGTCTCCCTAACCGGTTTATTTGGGGGGTGGCAGTGCCCCCGCCCTGCCCACGGCAGGGCACATCTCCCAGCGGCACATCCTTGCTGCCAAGGTGAACCCGAGTGCGCATTTGAACAAAGACCGGAGGGGCCGGCTCGGGGTTGGGGGGGCGGCTCGGTGTGTTCCCCCTCCCTGCTCGGCTGCCGCAGGTCCCCCGGCCAGCCCCGGATGGGGATGCAGTGCCGTGCCCCCACTCTGGAGGACATGAGCTGGGGGTAACTTGGGGGCAGGGGTGTAAAATGTCCCCAGGAAAAATCCCTGCCTGCCACATAAAATTAAGGATTGGAACTAAATGCCATTGAGGCTGTTATTAAGGGCTGCATAAAAGCAAGGGGTTATTGGATCCTGAGACGAATGTGCCAGGTCACCTGCCATTGCTCCAGCGGCCTCCGCATCCTCATCCTCGCCCTCCCCGCCTTGTGCCCCCCCCCCATCCCCAGGGACCACCACCCACCGAGCCAGGGCCGGCCCCAGCTGTGGCACCCTGCAGGGCTCAGGGGAGCAGGAATCCGGGAAGATGTCCATGCCCCGACCTGCGCTGAGCTGTCACCAAGGGGCTGAGGCCACGGCGCAGCCCTCCCCGCTGCCCGCAAAGGGCAGGCAGGGCCTGCCCGTGCCTCTGCCTGGGCCCTGATGTGCTGCCTGGGGAGAGGGTGCAGGGGACAGCACCCCCAGGTCCCTGCTGAGGTTGGCTTTGGCATCAAGCCCTGGCCATGGTGGCCTTAGCATCGGTCACGCCAGCTTTGTTAATGGGCACAGTGGCATTGGGCATGGTGGCATCGGGCACGGTGATGGTGGGCACAGTGGCCTTGGCGTTGGCGCTGCCAAAGCCAGGGAGCATCCCCTGGGTACCGGGGCTGGAAGCCGCCCACGGCCGCGGCGGGTGGCAGTGGGATGCGGGCAGCACCGAGCATCTCCGGCAGCCTGCGATGGAGCCGGGGGCCGGGGCCGGGGGAGGGT